AATGTCAGAAGATATTTTCAGAAATATTGTCAGAAGATATGCCAGAACGAATGTCAGAAGATATTTCAGAAACAATGTCAGAAGATATGCCAGCGGCCGCTACGTGCCGGCGGCCCAGGAACGGGCGAGCCGCAGGCGCGACTCTGCCGGATCGAGCCTGGACGACGCCGTCCACGTGGGGCGAGCAGCGGTCTTCCCAGCGGCAAGAGTGGCATTCCGATGGAGGCCGTGGAGGCCTTGCGTTTCTTTCGGACGAAGTCAATCAGGTTTTTCTTAGACAATCAATGGAATCTGAGCGAAACCTGTCAGAGACAATATGGTAGGGTTAGGGGGCCGATGCTCCACTTCCATGAATTGTTTGCAGGCGGAATGTACTTGTTGAATTGCCTTATAAAATCTTATACTATATACAACTATAATGTTTGGACATTCCCTACACCCACATGAGCCATGCGATTATAATATATAGGGACTCAGTAACATGTTTATGTTGTGTCATGCCAATTTTGAAGGACTAACGTTTGAACCAGACGAGAGTGCTTTCGGGGCGAACAACAGATTTCATCGGGTCCATGTGTTTATATGTGTTTTTCTTATTTTTATGTTTAGTTTACCGAGTTAAGAAGAAACCTTCTGAATCATTCAAGCATGGGACAGGAAGAGTAGGTGTTCTGCGCGACCAGTTGCCGTTTCTCTGGAACTACCCGCTCCAGTGAGCCGCGGCCTTTGAAGATAGTCGCTTCTCCTGTACAGACCACTCCTGGACTTGTTTTTTTCCATGTCTTCTGGTGTACTGGTTGTTGAGTCTTGTTTCACCTGGACACCCGGTACCGTTGGGTGATCCATCAGAGTCCTACTGTTTCAAGTCCTCTTGTTCTTTGCATGTCGCTCCTTCCAGGAACGCAAGGATGGTCCGAATGGTCTGCAGCTGAAGAGGCTGGGAAGGTGGAGCCGTGGAAGAAGTGGGCCCCGGAGGCCGCGCCGGAGGCCCCGATGCAGTCCGATTGGGGCGCCTGGTCAGTGGATGAGCCGAAGAGCACTGAGGAGCTGTGGGCGAATTGGAAGCCACAGGCTGCACCGCAGGCACCGCAGGCAGTCGAGACCTGGACACAGTGGGGGTCAGCGTGCCCCCAGGCAGATGCGTGCCTTGGAAGAGTCCGGACGTTGGGGTTGGAAGTGGGTGCGAATTTCCACCCGACCGCCACTCTAGAGGTACCGGGAACCTAATGGACCCAACTCAGTCTTTAGATATGTTTTGGGCAGCTTGGGAACCTCTCTGCTTCGTCGTTTTCAAGGTTTTTCTCACTTCAGACCGGACTCGTTGTGGTCCGGTAGAGGGAGGGTCGTGTAGGGTGTCAATACTGTGGTCGGGAGGTTCGCTCTGGGAGTTTCCAGGTTGTGGGTTGGGAGGGGTTCCGGAGCAATCTTAGAACATTTACAGTTTTTCTCAACAGTTTATTGTTGGGGTCCTCCCTTAAAAGAAAAAGAGGCGGCCACAGTGGCTTGGCCCCGCCCATGATTGCTATGTCCGGGGCTTGTCCTCCTCTTGTTCTCCTGGTGCTTGCAGTTGTCCTGCTGTTGTCCTCTGGCCACGCTGGCCAAATTGTGTCCTCCTCTTGTCCTCCTGGTGCTTGCGGGTCTTGTCCTCCTGTTGTCCTCTTCTTGTCCTGTGCCCCCTTCTTGCCTTCTTGGTGTCCTCCTAACCCTTTATTCGCCGCGTGTTCCCAAAGCAGTTCACGTTGTCATTGTCCAGTCGAGGCTTTGTCTGTTCTGTTGGCCGGGTTTTGTGTTTCCTGCTTGGCCGGGCCTTCTTCGGGTCTGTTTGTCTGTCCTGTTTGTCCATTTTGTCGGCCCCTTTACCACAGCCTTGTTTGGGCCTTCTCCGCTGCTTGGCCACGCCGCTGCAGATGCTCCCACCACCAATTTGAATTCAAGGAGTTGACGTTTAAAAATCATGCTGACACTGTTCGGGTTCTATGCTGGCATAGCATGGAGCTCTTTTTGTCTTTTGGGACTCAAAGGACTCAAAGCCGACGTGGACCTGCTGGTTTGTGGTACCCTCCCTGCAACAATCATGGAAGTGGAGTGGACAACCCCCTCTGAGTAGAGGAACATATTCCCAGGGGCCATGCCATACTCTTCCATGATTGTTTCAGGGAGGGTACCCTAGGGCTCCAACCATGTCCGCAGAAGGTGGTTAGACCGTTAGACCCCCCTGGCACCCACCCCAACCACCTTCTCAGGAAGTAGTTGGAGAATTAGGGGTAATACATTTCGTGATTTGTGAACCAAAAACATTGCCTAAAGACACGTTTTTTGGACCCTCCCACTCGGCGAAGTCGGGTCTCTGAGGCATCCCTCCGCAATGCGGCCCGTGCTACACTTTCAATGATCGAAAAAATGGTGTTCAGGGATGGGCCAGATTCGCATGAAAGTCGAAGAAGGCCACGTTTGCCAGGTGGGCTGTTGTATGCTGTTGGCCAGGTACCCTGGGTTTGTTATGGTTTGTTCGAAATGAACAGTCATTAGCAGACCAAAAGCTCAAACGTTGACCAGATTTGATTCCAAAGGTGAGATGGAGGAGACAGGATGGAGGAGACAGGGTGAGATGGCAGTCTAGAGACACCACACCAAAGCACAACTGAACATGGATTTGCATCAAACGATGCTTGCGGCTAAGCAAGTGAGTCTTCATCGACTCCTCCTCCCAAGCTACGTGTTACCCCGGTCGAGGTTCCCGCGCGTGTGGAGGGTCCCGCGGGTGGATGCCGGTGTTTGTGGGAGCAGAAACAGGCTCAAGGTGTCCTAGCCCAATAAGAGTTGACATTGAGTGAAAAGACCAAATCGTGTGTTTTTTGAGTTTGATCTAGGGAAAAAGTTGCTGCATAGACATGTTGGGGGGTATTTGATTTATGGACTCATGGCTCCTGGATGATGTACTGTAGATATATTCTTCTTGGCTGCACCTTCCACCATCCCAACTTAGTTGCTTGTGACTGCTTGTGACACAAGGTTTGAACATGTTTGAACATATGGAAGAAGGACCAAAACGATGGCTGTCCATGGCAGTGGCACAGCCACTCCCTTCGCACCCGATGTTGGTCTTGACACCCTTCATCCCTCCGGAAAGACCGGCAACTTCTCGCCATGACCCAATGTGAGCTGAGTGCCGCGGCGCAGCGGCTCTTTACCGCGATGTGGGCGTGTGAGACTGCAGTGGAGAATGCGCTGAGGTGCGGGACGACCCAGGATGTGGACATCTCCACTCCCTAAAAGTCCCTACAGATCCAGTCGTACCTTCACCTCAGCTACAGCAGGGTACGCCAAAAAACAGACGACCGGGTCCCGGGTCGGGCCCGGTATGGCAGATCCCTGGGACTTGGTTGGTGGAGAAGTGGAGACATCGAACCCGTGGCGACATGGCCCCCTCGGGGAAACGGTGCGTCCGCGGGGGCGCGGGGCGGGTCGGAGCGCCGGGGAGTGTCATATTTGTTGGGGGGGGAGGCCCGGGAAGGCATTCAAAAGCCACGAAGTGCACTAAAATATGATGGAGAAAGGGATGAAAAAGGATCTGGGAGAAACTTCACCGTAATTCTCACAAAGATCCTACTCACCAAACCGGTTTTGTCTAGATTTCGACTGGCAGCGGTCAAGGGCCAGTTGAGTGGGGAGGGGCGAGGTGATGAGATTGATTTTTGGGTGTTTTTTTGTTGAGAAACCTTTTTTTTTGGAGAAGCCCTGAAGGGCTCGATTGAGTTCTATTTAAAATATTTTAAATGTTGTTCTAGAGTTCTAGAGTTTATTAGTATATATATATATATAGTACATGGTGAGTTGACAAGCCAGATCTCACAAGCCCAGAGTTCTCCATACAAAACGAGCAGCAGTGGTATCGGATTGTTTCGACATGATTGAAACTTGGTGTCCCCCATTTGGTTCAGCGAGTTGCTGTGGACATGCCCTAAGATACACAGCAGACGAACAAGACTGGCAGACGAACTGGAAGAAACGGGTCTAGACCTTGGGTCCATTCTCGGGTTTCCAGACATTCCGGACGACCATTCCATGTAGGATATATCCCTAGTGCTCCAACCATATCCTCAGAAGGTGGTTAGACCGCCTGGCACCCACCCCAACCATCTTCGAAACGGAGGTGGTTGGAGCCCTAGGGTATGAGTGCACATATGCCAGTCACGCCGCCGCAAGCTAGGCCCGGTATATATCTAGCATCGTATCCGGTGAGGTGCCCGGTCAAACAGCGGACTGGTCGGGTCTTCGCAGGGTGCAGTGGTCACCGGGATGGTCAGCCATTGGATCACTGGCATCAAGGATCGGACTGGCCAACGTTGGCTGCGAAAAAATGGACCCAGCCTGATAGATCCTTTAGCTGTCACATGATTGCATGCAATCCAGAACATGCAGAAGCCAAACCATCATCTAAAAGAACCACAGCTGTCACCTCGTTGGACCGATTCGGAGAGAAGGCTCCGCATCAAGTGTCGTTTTTTTTTTTCCGAAAGAAGGGTGTTCCGATGTTCCAGGTGGCTTGGTGTGAGGCTTTCCAAAGAGCCTCAGCAACCGCAAAATCCTTATGCTTGGGATTTTCTTGTGTTAACACCATATATTTTTATATAAGTTATACCATTGGCAAGCATCTGAATTATATTATCTTTTATGACTTGGCTTGCCAATGGATCTATCTCTTACTCCCGGAACATCCGACCCACTTTCCATCCAATCCACCTCAAAATACCTGGAACATCCGACCCACTTTGAGGCTGGGTGGGTTACCACCCAAAAGACCCACCTCAATCCAACAAAAAGCCCCCCCCAGCCCTGCCGACCGTCCCATCGGCAGTTGGAAGAGTTGGGATTGCGATGCTTGGGCTCCTTGGCGGGCGGAACCAGTGGATCACCGAGTTTCCCCCGAACGAAGGGATTGGTTACGGTGGTTACCAGACCCAGACACGACCTGTCTGGGACTGCCATAGGACTACCGATCAGTTGGGGTATGTTGGGGTGGTGCCAGGGGGGTCTGTCTGGGGCGGCATATATGGCAGTCCCATGGGTCGTGTTTGGGAGAGGTTCGATGGCACAACCCATCAAAAAAAGGCCTCCGGGATCAGTTCAACCACTTTGCGGGGGGCAGATGTTGGTTCCAATATCTCTTCCCAGATTGTAGACCTACCCAGGGGTTCAGTGGTGAGGGGGATTGCGGCTTTCACCAAATCATGAACAGATGGAACACCTTATTTTGCCACAAAACTGAGGGACTGAGCGAGTCAGTTGGGAGACGTGGGGGGCCGGGATATCTGTGGGGCTGGAAAAGACAGGAAGGATTTCTGCGTCGGTTGTGATCGGAGCAGGGCTTTTTGGGGCAACCCAACGATGCGAGATTCTTCCTGATGGAACAAGTTGAATAAATCCAATGCCACGATCGTTACTTGAAGTTACTTCCCAGATCTTCAAAGATTTGCAAATTGCTCTCCAAATGTCACGATGTCAATCTTTCGGGTTTTTGTGCTAAATGCGACCGAGAAATCATCCAGATTCTTCACTCACTTGGTGGGGTGATGAAGTTGTGATGTTCATCACACCATGTTCTCACGAGAAAAGCTCGCCCACTGCGAGAGGATTCGCAAACCGATTCGCTTCGAAGAGTCCTCTCGTCTCGTCGGACCGTCGACCGTCTCGTTCAGCGTCTCGACGTTCGCTGCGAACGTCGGCGCAAAGCATCCGTTCGCGAAGTCTGTGGGGCGAAGCCTGATGAGCTATTAAGGGGCTATTAAGGGCTCATAAGTGCTATCCAAAGGGGTCGCGACCCCAAAGGGGCTATCCAACTATGCAAAACTATTAAGGGGCTCTCCAAAGGGGTCGCGGTTCGGTTCCGGGTGTTTGTGTTCTCGACATAGTTTTGGGGCTATTAAGGGCTCATGAGCCAACCAGTGGTGGTAATCGGTCCATGTCCTACCCAGTCAATGAATAGGCTTTACAGTGGTTTCAGAGTAGATGGCCCCATCCCCAAGTTAGGTGATGTATATGGGCCTCCATCTAGAGGGCATCTTGGGGTCTGTGCCATCTACTCAGAAAACACTGTAATCTTTTGGTTTCCCCACTAAATATTTGCTAAATATGACCAGCTGGTGCTCAGGAAGGGGCTAGCTGTAGCCGGCTGCCGAGTCGGAGAAACTCGTTTCTGTTCAGAGTTCCCAAACGCCTTGCAAGATGCACAGATGGAACATTCTGTTCACCTTTTGTGGAGTCAGGATGTAGGTCAAGGCCCCAAGGTCCCAAGGCCAAGGCCCCAGGATAGGGGGTTGAGAATAAGGCTTCCCGCATTTCAGGGGGATCCTTGTAATTTTGTTGTCCAATGCCACGCTTTCAAGACTAAGAGACTGGTGTGAAACATTTCGATGTTGGAAGCGAACCCCCAGAAGAAAGATTGTATGACAACATGAATATACTTTTTGTGTGTGTGTGTGTCCCATGACCTGTATTAGTCAATAAACATGTTATTTTACATGTTATCACTGTTTTTGAGAAAGGCCTTTACTAACCATCAGCATCCACTGTTACAGGGAACGGGATACACCCAAAATATACTGCACAAAAGGATGGGTTGTATGACAAGTTTTGCATTACTTGGGTCGCCGGTCAGTCTGGAATGCGAGCGCAGCAAGGCGCGAGAGCAGCAAGGCGCGCGACGGTTTCTGCGACGACGCGCCATTCAGCCTGGGTCGGTTTCTGCGACTCGATCGAGGAGTCGGAGGTCAAACAACCTGGTTGGGCAGAAGAAGGGGTGGATGTGTCATGTTTTTTTTTCCATGTTTTTCTCCGGTTTCCACTTGCCGGTGATTGAACTGGGTGAGATCAGCGAGTCAACTGGGGAGGACTCCACCGACCTCGGCCGATGAAACGGGGCTTTGGGATCCAACTTGAAGCCCTTCCTACCTAGCGCTTCCTGTCTGGGTGTCCTGTCTGGTGACCTATAAGCAGTGTGGGGTTGTCCAGCCAGGTAACCCATTGGAAGCACCGACCAGTGCGTCGTGTATATGTCAGACGAGTTTCACGCGAGATCTGGCGCGAGAGGTAGTAACCCATTGGAAGCAGCTGGTATATATACTGTGTATACATATGCCCTATAGAAGTCCAAAGACTATATGTTGACCGACTGAAGTAAAGGACTGTCCTGAACTCGGGTCACCTAAAGACCATTATTTTTATAGTCTTTAACTCTCAGGGTATTGGTATATATAGTATATATACCTGGATCTTCCAACTATGCCAAATCTCACCCCCCCCGCCCCGTTGGGCTGGGCAGATGAGATGGACCTCCTCCGCAGCGAAGTCACCGCGCTGGTGCAGCACGAGCACGAGCTGCACGAGCAGCGTGAGCAGCGCGAGCGCATTCCGCACGCGCACAGAATCCTGGTTTTGCGCACTTGAGAGTTGTCTATGTTC